AGAAAAATTTTGGATGTGATGGAAAGTTGAGAGTTGAGGGGAGTTTGGTGTGAACTAAACAGGGTCACAGCCTAAACACGGTGCAAAGGCAAAGAGCGGTTGTATAGAACTCTTACCAGTAATCTCGATACTCCAAAAGCTGCAAAGAGCAAGTTGAAACATCTGAATTTTACACGCAAGAGCGAGTGAGGCTAGCTGAAAGGGACAAACTGCTTCGTGCACGGTGACAAGCCAGAAAAGGTACTACTAGTGGTAGTACTCGTTGGTCAGCGGGGAGTAGTAGTATAGCTATAGCATCGAGTAATCCAATGGCGCTAGGCCCACGTCGTGCAGCATGAAGGCGGGAGAACTTTTTCCCAGGCGATGCAGATCAGTGCAGAGCCACAGCCTGCCTGCCTCGCTGCATTTCCATCTCTGGACTGGCACAACCACACAGACACAGCACGAGACACCGGTGTCGAGACAGGCACAGGCTCTCACTTGCCTTCCTCTCTTCCTGCAGTCACTTGCCCTAGCCAACGTCGGAGCAGATGCAGCCCTGAAAACCATCGGCATGTGGCGCGGGCGCCGGATCGAGCTGGGATCATGCATCCCGTTGCCATGATGCCATGGCACGGGCGCGACAGGACGACGGACGAGCCGAGGACCATATCGCGTCGCAAACGGTCGGCTCTCTTCCCCCTCCCGTGCTGTACATGCCATCATCACCCATTCGTACCGGTCTCTCTCGCTGACCCAACGGTCTCTACCTCTCCCATTTCTTCTCCTACGTGTAAGTACCACTAATCAACAGTCATGCAGTACTAATCAACAGTCATACAGTACTCCAATGCATCAGAGCATCAGTCATGCATCAGAGCAATGCTGCTGCTGCCAGAAAAAAAAAGAAAGAAATATACTAGCACCGAAAGTCCAAATGGAGACAAAGATTCATTCGAAGAATGACTTTTTCTTTCACAGGGAACGGCTCTGCAGAAATTCTAAGTTTCATCATTCTAAAACGGGTGCTACTAAAAAACACAGCAAAACGAATCAGAACCAGAGCAATCATGCATGTACAGAAAGAACTCTTAACACCATCCAACAGCAGACGCTAATCAGATCGGCTGCACACCAAAAGCAATCCCAAAGTAAACCAAACCGCAAATCACAAAGGCACAGACAAATTAATCACTGGCTAATGGCGCCACCTTCTGACACGGCGGGCGAGTCGGACACGGACACGCCGGAGGACTCGTCCATCGACTCGTGCGACGGCGACGCCTCCCCGCACGCGCGGATCTCCTCGATCATCTTCACCACGTACCCGATCTTCGGCCGCTGGTCGGGCGCCGCCGACGCGCAGCTCAGGGCGAGCTGCAGCATCGCCACCATCTCCTCCTCGATGCCCTTGTCCTTCATCAGCTCCAGGTCGAACACCTCCGACGTCCACTCCTCCCTCACCACCGACTGCACCCACCGCGGCAGCTCCACCACCACGCCGCCGTTGGGAAGCTCGCTGCCCGGGCACCGCCCCGTCAGCAGCTCGAGTAGCACCACGCCGAACGCGTACACGTCGCCCTTCTGCGACGCCCACGGCCGCGGCGGCGGGGGCGCCTCGGGGGCGCGGTACCCCGCCGAGCGCGCCGCGGCGGCCGCCGGGGACGAGCCCAGCTGCGCCAGGCCGCAGTCCGCGAGCCGCCCCACGCCGGCTTTGTCGAGCAGTATGTTCGTGCTCTTGATGTTGCCGTGCGCCAGCCTCGGCGTCCCGCTGCCCCGGCGGCTCGCGTGGTGGATGTATGCTAGGCCGCGCGCGGCGGCGGAGGCGATGCGCATCCGCGCCGCCCAGTCCAGCGGCGTGCGCCCAGGGCCACGGTTACCTATAATAACATGTTTCAGCAACAGGTGTTCGACGAAATCAATGTCGAGATGCAACAATTAGAGAACTCACCGTGCAGGAGGGAGAAGAGGCTGCCGTTGGGCATGAACTCGTAGACGAGCAGCTTCTCGTCGCGGGCGTAGTAGTAGGCGTTGAGTGGCACGATGTTCGGGTGACGGAGACGGCCAAGCACGGCCATGTGGTGCTCGAAATCCTTCTTGGACGCCGCCGCCGCCGTGGCGTCGCGCAGCCGCTTGACGGCCACGACGCTGCCGTCGCCAAGCACGGCCTTGTACGCCGTGCCGCACCCGCCCTTGCCGAGCATCTCTGCTGATGCGCGCAGCAGGTCGTCGAGCTCAAACCGCTTCCCGCCGCCGCTGCTGACGTCCTCCAGAAACACCATTTTCCCCCGCTCAAACGTGCCGCCAGCTGCAGTGACCACTCCGGTGGCGCCATAGGGGCTGGAGGAGTACACGATCTTCTCCCCTTCCCGGAGACGCCTGGCGCTTCGCCGGCCGGAGAGGCGTGGCCAGAAGTAGCAGAACAGCAGCCCGGCCACGAGCCCGACCACGGCGAAGTCCCCGGCCACAATTGCCACCACGGCCGCGCAGCTCATCTTTCCCTTGCCGCTGGTTGCCGCGCCCGCTGGCTTCGCTGACGGCGACGACGCCACCATGGCCGCAGCCGGTGGGCACGGCGGCGTCGCGGACGCGTTGACAGCCGCCGACGCGTTCGGCTGCTGCGCCTCGTCCTTGCACGGCGGCAGCGGCGCGCTGCAGAGACCAGCATTCCCGCCGAACGCCCCAACCGGAAACTTGGCCATCGCCACCGGAATCCTCCCCGTCAAAAGATTGTTGGAGACATTGAAGTCTTGCAGCACAGGGAGCGCAATGCCGTCAATCCCGCCGCTGAGCCGGTTGGAGTCCAGCCGCAGCGTGAGCAACCTGTCGAGCCGGTTGAGCTCCGGTGGCACGACGCCGGACAAGTTGTTGAACGACAGGTCGAGGCGATACAGCCGGTACAGCGCCCCAATCGACGGCGGTATCGGGCCGGACAGCGAGTTGCCGGCGAGGAACAGCAGCTTGAGCCCCGCGAGCGGCGAGAGGTCGGGAATGGCGCCGGTGAGGCCGTTCCCCTTGAGACTAAGCACGCGGAGGCCGTCAAGCCTCGCGAGCGCCGGGAGCGCGGCGTCGCCGGACAGGCCGAAACCCTCGAGCACCAGCCTCGTCACCCGCCCACCCGCGCAGCTGACACCCCGCCACGTCCCGCACGGCGCTGGGTTGGCTGCCAGGTCCCAGCTCGCCAGCGCGCCTGACCGGTCGGCGGCCAGCCGGAAGTCCGACAGCGCCGCGACGTCGGCGTCCAGCGAGCCGCCGCCGCCGCCGTCGGCATAACACACGAAGCATCGAAGCAGCAGTGCCGACAAGAAGAGCGGCAGCAGAATGGCGCTGGCGCCGCCGCCGCTGTTGCGAGGCATGCTGCTCCCTATGCGTTTCTTTTGTTCGAGCTTGACCTCGCGTTTGGCTTGTGTGCGGCGACGGTCGTGACAGCGGCGAGACGAAGGGGGTTCTTGTCTGACGCTCCCCCTCCTCCACAGCTTCACCACCGCACGCACAGTGATACTCACACACAGAAGGGGCCCACAACTCAGTGACAGTGACGAGCTCTCGCGAAGACGAGGGTGTGAGAAGGTGGTGACGTGTGGCGCCATGGATGGATTTGGGGAGCAGGTGAAGGTGTGGATGACGGGTGGGGCCATGCTGGTTGATGGGGACATGTCAAGGGTAAAAAAGAGAGGAGCGGAAATGCGGAAATGTTTGGGCATCATGTCCGGTCGGAATTCAGTGGGCCCCTTTTTACTCGGGTGGGCTTTTGCTCGTTGTAATTATTGCTGCATAGATTGGCGAGACTCTCGGGATGTGAGCGATGAAGGTGAGCTTTTTTTAGGATTAGCGGCGATTATGTGCAATCTGGGCTTCATTATGGCGCCAAGAATAGGCGCGCACCGCAGCTATACTAGCGGCGCACGCGCACGTGACAACGGAGTGTTGGGGTTTTACCTTTGGGACTGGGTGTATTTTATTTGCCGAGAGGATGAAATTTCTAGCATTACCGGCGGCTATATATGTAGTCCTCCATTCAGATTACCGGTGGCTATTTGTTCACGACGATTATCAATTTAGGAGTACCTTTTGGAGTCTTGATTCCATTATGTACATACTCCTCCTATGGAGTACTCCTACAGTATATGGGGATGGATGTTTTTTAGCTTTGGGTGGAAGTGCGCGAGAGAGACAAGTATGAGAGGTTGTCAGTGGGAATACTATATGCAGCCTTGCAGAGCTGCAGAGGTGAGTGCGCCAAATCCATCGTACGGGGTGGCAGTTCTTTTAGGAGATCGTACGGAGCAGATTGCTAATTGGGCCTTTTTTAAAGTGTTTCTCTGAGGAGAGAGGAAGAAAAAGGGAGATTATATATGTTCGTCCATGGGCCTAATCATCGACTCCCCAATTTCGGTCCAGTTTCGACACCAAGCCCACACGACTCTCGAGCATTAACACGTGCCAAAAGCGCGATCCGGCCTCGGTGTACGCGTCGTACCGTGTGCGTCGCCTCGCGTCGCGCGGCGCGGGCAAACACGTACACGCGCCGGAGTACGTCAAAAAAAACAAACCTGATTTTCGTGCCCAACGTTTGACCGTCCGTCTTATTTAAAAAAATTATGAAAAAAAGTAAAAACACAAGTCACGCATGAAATATTAATCATGTTTTATCATCTAACAATAATGAAAATACAAATTATAAAAAAAATTCATATAAGACGGACAATTAAAATTAGACACGAAAACTCCTTTTTTTGGGTACGGAGGGAATTCCTCGCAAGGTTTCCTTGCCGTGGCGCGGCGCCGCGCCGCGCGGCTCGCTGGGGTGTGCTGCATGGATCACCGAACGTGCACGATTCGATATGATGTCGGTGCAAAACTGCGAACCAAAGCTACGTGTGCGATCACCATGTGACAGTAAACCTCGGGGGTCAATTCCGTATTCGAAGATGCACAAGTGGAAAGACTATTACTTCAAAGGACAACAAAAGATGACGCGTTGCTTGTTTCTTCTCTTTTCTTTTCTTGGGCAGTACAAGTATTGCCGAGATGGTCAGAATCGCCAGTATCGGTCGCAAAGTTTTTATTTATTTATTTTTTTGGTAATAGAATGATACAATTGAAAATTGGAAAGACAGTAGAAATTGACAAGTATATGTACCGGATGCCTGATGAAGCATGCAGACATATGCACGCATCCACCACAAAATACGTACTAGAAACGAACGAAAAAAACCGATCGATCTCTGCATCTCAGCCGAAGCCAATAACCTTGGGAGCCAGCTCGAGCAGCGGCGCCAGCGCGTCGGGCGAGAACTTGCGCGCGAACACGAAGCAAACGTCGCTAGCCTTGCCGTTGTACGTGCAGTTGCCGGCGCCGCCCCTCATCTTCCCGAAGAGCTCCTCGGTGACGTCCCGTGCGCCGTGGCTCCTCGGGTGAGGCCTCCTCGGCCGCCACTCCGTGTACGTGAGCGTCCGGTTGGCGTTGCGGCGCCACCGGAGCAGGCTGACCAGCGTCGGGATGTAGTGCTCGTCGATGAGGCAGCCCCTGCGCCCGGCGCAGGAGTCGCGGAACGCCGGGAAGTAGCGCTCGTCGGAGACGACCTCGACGGCGAGGGCGCGGTCCATCTCGAAGAACTGGGACCCCTTGCGCCACTGCGCCGCCGTGATGTTGTGCGGCGCGAACAGCGCCGGCCTGTAGCGCGCGCGGGCGCCGGCGTTGTCGAAGCAGTCGACGAAGCTGTCGTTGGATCCGGTGAGGTGAGCGTACAAGGTGGGGAAGTCGAAGATGGGGATGCACGACTCGGACAGCAGCGCGAAGCGCTCGTTTGATAGGTCCAGCAGCGCGTTCGCTAGCAGCCGACGCTCCGCTTCCACCAGGTTCGCGTCGCCCCAGGTCGTCCTCTGCAAATGCACGCGTGCACAAAATTTTAATCGCAACGCACGCACAGTTACTAGCTTGAGATCGTCAGAACGATATTTACCTACCACAACTAACCGGCTAGTGAAAGTAATTAACTAATGATTCAGGTGTAATCAACGTTAAACAACGTAAGCGGGGATAGCTCAGTTGGGAGAGCGTCAGACTGAAGATCTGAAGGTCGCGTGTTCGATCCACGCTCACCGCATTATTCTATTTTTTGAAAAAAAAAATTCATGCAAACAACTAAATAAAACAAAATTTGATCTGTCACTGTGTTATTACGAACCTGGATTAGTTTTGCTCTCTATTACGAATTGTTTCCATGCAAAGAACGAAATCAACTTGGAAGAACAAAATAATCGAGGTCAATTTGCATGCTCTGTTACAGTGTTACGAACCTGGCTTGGAATCATGCGGCCATAGAAGACAGAGTCGGTCGGCAGCGAGGCAGCAAAATGAGGATCGGAGTGGACGTAGATGGAGTAGAGCTCCTTCCCGTGCCCCGCGAAGAACTTCTCCCACAGTAGCCGCAACGGCAGCTTCGCTCTCACCAGGAACAGGAACGCCACCTTGGGCACGCGGCTGTACGGCGCGCGAGACACCCTCGGCGCCATGGACGCCCTCCACAGGAGCTCCTCGTCGGTCATGTTGTGCGTCACGCCGCTCGGCGCAAGGAACCCCATCAACCCTGTCGGTGTCGATGGCGGTGACGGCGCCGGAGTTGGAGTAGACGACGGCAATGGTGGTGGCCACACGCACGGTGTCTCCGGCGATGGCGATGGCTGCATTATTGGCCGTGATGATGATGGTACAAGGGAGTGTAACATCGGCGATAGCAAAGGCGATTCGTAGAATTTAGGGAAGTTGGCGATGGAGATCATGCCCAGGATAAATCCTGAAGAGAAGAGGAGCAGCATTGGCACTGCTTTGAGGAGGCTGCTGCCTGAGTGAGTGGCAGCCATAGGCTTGTTCATGTTGTTCGTGGCGATTTGATCTGTGTCGAACATGAGTCATGCAACTCACCGCTTTGATCTATCTCTACTTAAAATTAACGTAGCTTGTAGATGCAAAAGTTCGCATCGATTGATTAATTAATTTCCTCATTTGTGGGAACTAGGAACTGTACCAAGGAAGCAATATATATTAGCTGTAGATTCTTCTCTTCCTCTGTTTATTTTTTGAGGGAATTCTCTTGCTCTGTTTAATAACTAGTACTACAAGTGATATGTGTCTACTACACTTTTCTTCTTCCCCCTCCAATATGACATTTAATTTTTTTTAGTTTCTCTTGATTGGTATTCCTTCCTATGTAACTCGATTAAATATTTATCTTTAGTGTCTTTAATTATAACAACAATACCTTAATAATATTACGAGATCATACACACAACCAAGTGCTATTAGGGCTAGTCTGGTGTGATGTACTACAAGCTTTATCACTGCAAAAATTTTAATAGGGTACTTGTGGTAAGGAAAAATTTGGTTTGGAACCAAATTGTACCAATATGATAAGAGAGAACATGTGGGCAATGCAAAAGATCTAGCACATTGGTCTTGTTTAGCACAAATCAAACTTGAATGTTCTCTTGCCTGGTTTTTCTTTCTAGCTTCAGTAATTATTAGAGTTACAGATGCTGGTAGATTAAGGTTATTAGGTTGAAACATTTGTGTTCATATTTTGGACCAAAATAAGGGGATTAATAAAGCTACTTTAGTTTACTATATGAAATTAATTTCTAAAAGAATTCAGGAGTTGGAGCCATACTAGATAGGGCCTTAATGTTGATATCGGCTAAAATGCTGCCTTACTCTGATTAATTTTTCAATCTCCTATTTCAACATCATCTCCTCATTACCTTCTTTCTCTGTTTGAAATCTTTTTTGTAGGTTGTTTTATTATGTCTAATAATTTCTGTTCGCGTAGATATTACTTGTTATGTGGTATCCACATTTTATTCTTTTGTTGATTTCTAAATCTGTATTATTTTTGTTGCACTTTCTTATAGTTTGATCAGTTTACTGCTTTGACATCTATACTAACATCTCTAGTGATGTTTTAGATGACACACCATCCTTGTTCATGCTGGGTAATTTATAGCCAACTTTTTAATTAGAAAATTTACACCTCCTATTTATTAATGATTCTTCTCTAAGAAAAAATCCCGTCTCTTGTTCGTTAATGCTTCTTCGTTATTGAGCTTTTGAGATTCTTAATATTTCCAACATGAGTGAAGTCTTGTAGATAATCATCTTGATCATTGTTGTCATTGGATCTGATGACACACCACGATGTTTTATTTTTTTTCTTCCTATTGCGTAACATTATTAGAAGGATTCTTCACTCCCTGGAATACTGTATAATCATTTCCTGTGAAATATACTCACTATTTTAGTTAGGATTTTGTATCAGATAAAACTATTTTTGTTCCAAACTACAATTGATCGAATGTTTAACACCGACAGGTTAGGGACTTAGCGTGTGGTTTCGTCAGTCTAGCAGAACTTTCTGCATTCGGCTTACGTAGCTCAAGCCGTGTGCTGTCCCGGTCAACTTTGGAAGCTTAAGAATACAACGTAGGAGTAGAACTGGAGAACAGTACAAGCACAGTGACGATGACAGATAGTTTTAGCTTGCCAGGATTGTTCGCCTCCGGTTTAATACACCAGGATCAGAAGAATCCGGGTCAAAACACTCAACAAAAGGGTGTGATACGGAAGAGGTTCATCGGATGTACGTGACTGACATGCGGGCCTAGGAAGGCAGGCATCACCTATCAGAATCTTATGTAAGACCTTCCCACACAAAAACTTTTCACCCTATCACATCTAATGTTTAGATATATGCATAGAGTATTAAATATAGAAAAAAACTAATTACACAGATTACGTGTAAATTGCAAGACAAATCTTTTAAGCCTAATTGCACCATGATTTGACAATGTGGTGCTACAGTAAACATTTACTAATGACGGATTAATTAGGCTAAATAAATTTATCTCGTAGTTTGTACAGGCGGAATTTGTAATTTGTTTTGTTCTTAGACTACGTTTAATACTTTAAATATATGTTAGTATATCTGATGTGACACGCAAAAACTGTTCACCCATGAACTAAACTAACAGTAGCTCCATCTGTGTAAATACACTACTAGCTATAGTATGGAAACCGATAGTAGCTCGGCCAGAAATTGTTAAACACTAACAAACCTAGAGCCCAGCTAATGGATTGTTGTTTTTCTCTAAAAATACATGGCAATTTGAGACAATTTATAAATGATTTGGATTCTATTAGTTACTTTTTTGTCAATTCCTAGTGTCGATTTCTAGTATCAGCAATATTATTTACGGGGTGCACTAGATCGAGGAGAGATGGTGATATAGATTTATACTGGTTCATACCCTTAGGATAAGGTAATACCCTACTACAGATGGTGTAGATTGGATCTATGCCGGTGTGCGTGTGCGCATGTCAGCAATGAGATAGCCGACAGCGCGTATGAATAATGGAATGTCTAACCGAGTTGTGGAGATGCCCTAATCTCGGGACCGCTAACCCTCTCTTATATAAGATGAAGGGGAGAATGTTAACGACCAAATTTGGTAATCTGAGTATCAAAGATAGAGATCAGATCGAAGCGGAATCTAAATCCAAGATCGTTTCAGAGACAAAGCAAGAATCGGCTGAAGTCCGAATCGGCTGTGATCAGGATCGGCAGAGTCTGAGTTGGACAGGGTTAGCCGATTGAGCCAAATCCGACAATATGACAAGGAATACGTTGTCGGGTTGAGTTAATAAGCTTCATGGTGATTGCCACACATGAATAGAGTCCTGAGAAGGCAATTGTATCTATTAATTAGGATATTTTATGTAATTTACTTAGAGATATGTTTGGGCATCCGCAAAGACTTATGGTATCTTAGAGTTTGTTAGAGATAAGAGTCGTGTCTGATATGGACATATTTTGTAATCTCGGGTATAAATAGACCCCGAACCCCATGTAATCAAACTAACACACGTTCAATATAATCTCGGCGCATCGCCACCCTTTTACTTTTGTTTTGTTTCGACGAGTTCTTACTTTCGGGTTGAGCTACATCGGTTCCGATCTTCAACTAGAGGTAAAACTTGTTATGGCGGCTTGCGTTCTCAGGATTAGTACTTCCATCTTTATGATACTCTAATCTCGTTTATGTAATTCGTCGAGTTATCATATATCTTATATAATTTCTGGCAATATCACTATCTAACTTCTAATCGGCTAACGTCTGTTACTAGAAAGCAGCCGATTAGGTTAAATATCGACGTTGACTTAAATTATATAGGATATCTACCACTCTATGAAACATCCAACGGCTTGATTGTCTAGATATTGTCCTTCTTTTCATACTTATAGCTGCATCAGTTGAGTTTGATCTTATGAGTCATGATTAGAATCTCAATCTCTAGCCTGTCTTTGGTTGCCGATTAGGGTAGTATCGGGGTTTCAGCCGATCTTACCTGATTTAACTACATTTTTCTTATATGCTTGATTGACATGTTAAATCTGCCATTTATGTTAAGATCTCGTCACATTTAAGTATATTAGGCTTTTGTTTGGTATATTCTACTTGTTTTGATATCTTAATATAGAGTAGTATCGGGGTATTAGCCGATACACGCTAGATCTATCTGATTGTGTCGGTGACATGGGACCGGGGATATCTTGACTAGAGGTTTGGGGCAGCCGCGATCACCCACGTGGCCTGACCCACTCGGGGGGGGGGGGGGGGGGTCGGGCCCGAGGGTGATGAGGCCGCCCCTCCCTCTATCTCCCCGAGGGGTCGGGCCGCTCCCGTTTCGTCCCCGAGGGCTGGGGCGCTCCGACCCCCTGAGGGTTTGGCGCCACGTGTGTGGGTTAGGTGAGCACAGCGGCGCTCACCTAACCGCGTTTATTGCGGGTTGGACGAGCGCCCCACGCCGCATTTAATGCAGCGCAGCACACTCGTTCGGTCCGTGACAAGTCACAGTGTGTGACCGGTCACAGACCGGTCAGATCGCGGGTTAGGTGGCAACAGGCGGCCTTTCGCACGCCTCGCCCCGTCCCGTCGGAATGATGAGAGCCTCTAGGCACTCGTCCCTAGACGGAGCCGGCGTGGGAACTCCTGGAGTTAGCACGTCGGTCCCGGCTAGATTCATACCAGGCTTCATCGCAACCATTACAAGGAAGTCATTTTATGAAGAAGGGCTGACGTGTGGCATGCTAAACTGACACGTGGTAGACAAGAATGACCAGTTTGTGACTGGTCTGACGCCGGTCACGTCATCAGCAAACAACCATGTTTCCACGTTGCACCTGCTTCCGGCGGAGTGGAGGTTGGTATGACCCATCCCATCGGAGGGTCATTCGGACAGCAGCCATTGCAAATCTCCGCCCATTAATGAGGGAGGACAGGGTTATCCCGGTGTCAGGCGAAGGTACGAGCCAAGTTTTGGTCAAAGTAGGATGGGTCCCCACTCAAAAGAAGGGTAGGTAGAAATGGTGTATGTGGTATCCCCTTGAGATATAAAAGGAGGACCATGCCTACCAAAAAGAGGGGACTGGAAAAAAGAGGAGTGAGAGGGTCTCTAGAGTTTGAACTCTCTTGCTCTCCAGCTCTTTGTAACTCCTTCATACACAGATCCACCAGAACACAGGAGTAGGGTATTACGCTTCTCAGCGGCCCGAACCTGTCTACATCGCCCGTGTCTTGCGCATTTGCTCTCTCGCGAACCATTCCACAAATCAAGGGCTTAGAACCTCACCCAGCGCCCCCGGCCGAACCGGCAAAGGGGGGCCCGCGCGGTCTCCCGGTGAGGAGCCCCACGCTCCGTCAGATTGGCTATGCTATGAACATATGTAGTCTCATTGTTAATATATATTTCGATCTAAGTGATTTATACTGTCTCGGCATGGCGACTGATCTATCCCAACCACTTGATTTAAGTATATATCGATATAAAGATTACATATTGTTAATATCTACAGCCGATTGAGTAGATTTAGTTCTTTAATCACTTATTCATGATCGTCGATCGATCTACTTATGACATCGGCTCAGAGATAAATGATATGTCATCGGCATCTAGCCGATCGGCTATCGTTTATGGATTTAATCGTGGTTTCTTTGTCTTTGTTTCTTGTTGATTGCAGGATCAAATCAATTAGCACGCTCACACACCCAAAGGCAAGTTTTGGACCTGCACTGGAGTTAAGCAGATCTCCCAGGCCTCGTGCTTTTACATCAACAGAGAATTACAAGAAAAATATCTAGTTGATTGCAACTAGATCTCATTATTATATCTATAAAAGATATACGTGATTCTCGGGATTTATATCTTATCCTGAGAATATTTCTTACTTAATTTACAAGTGCATCGCATGGGCCTAGGGCTCTTGGCCCACCCCCATGCCGCACGGCCTAAAGGCCTCTCCTTGGATACCCGGGTACCATGTATCTCACAATAGCGCCCGAGTACTTAGCATAACATAGAGAGGAGGAGAAATTAGCATGTCCTTTGGAAAAAAAAAGGTGAATCATATCGAGGAAGCATCCAATGTTTTACTTCCAGTCAGATGCTCGATGGAGAGCATTTTCGCACAAAGTAAATATATCGATAACTATTCGGTACCAAATTCTTCTGAACACTACACAGCTACAAGCATGCACAGTAGCGTGTACAGGTGAGGTAGGAGATGTATACTCCGGGTAATTTCACCGTACTTGAAAAGATATCAGGAGATACTATATTTTCTACTGTAAAACCTGTTATCTTTAGATTTCAAAATCTTCAATGAAAATTTTAGGCCGTAAAATTTCTCATTTGCTCCGTAGGATTTTCACCTACATCCTAATGTAACATGACCTTAGAATGTGCCATGCGACATTCCGACTGGTAACATGTACCTGATGAAGCGTGCATCATGCATGATATGCATCCACAGACGACCGATCGATCTAAATTTGTATCTCAGCCGAAGCCCATAACCTTGGGAGCCAGGTCGAGCAGCGGGCCAAGCGTGTCCGGCGTGAACTTGCGCGCGAACACGAAGCAGATATCACTGGGCGCGCCGTTGTAGGTGCAGTTGGCGGCGCTGCTCCTCATCTTCCTCAAAAGCTCCTCGGTGACGTCCCGTGCGCCGTGGCTCCTCGGGTGCGGCGACCTCGGCCGCCACTCCATGTACGTGAGCGTCCGGTTGGCGTTGCGGCGCCACCGGAGAAGGCTCACCAGCGTCGGGATGTAGTGCTCGTCGATGACGCAGTGCCTGCATCCCCGGAACGCCGGGAAGTAGGCCTCGTCGGAGACGACCTCGACGGCGAGGGCGCGGTCCATCTCGAACCACTGGGAGCCCTTGCGCCACTGCGCCTGCGTGATGTTGTGGGGCGCGAACACGTCCTGCCTGTACCGCGCCATGGCGCCGTTGTTGTCGAAGCAGTCGACGAAGCTGTCGTTGGAGCCCGTCAGGTGCGCGTACACGGTGGGGAAGTCGAAGATTGGGATGCACGACTCGGACAGCAGCGCGAACCGCTCGTTCGACATGTCCAGCAGCGCGTTCGCCAGCAGCCGCCGCTCCGCCTCTACCAGGTTCGAGTCGCCCCAGGTCGTCTTCTGCATGCATGGACGACATACATCGCAACGCACGCACAATTCCATCGTCAGATCGTGACGTGACACGGTGACAGAAACATCAAACAATCTATCTATACAGTGGTGTGGTATACCTGGCTTGGAATCATGCGGCCGTAGAAGACGGAGTCAGTGGGCAGCGAGGCAGCAAAAGGGGGATACGAGTGGACGTAGATGGAGTAGAGAGACTGGTTGTGCCCGGCGAAGAATTTCTCCCAGAGTGGCCGCAGTGGCAGCTGGTTCCTCACAAGGAACAGGAAGGCCACCTTGGGCACGCGGCTGTACGGCGTGCGAGACACCTTCGGCGCCATGGACGCCCTCCACAGGAGCTCCTCGTCGGTCATGGTGTGCACGACGCTGGTCGGCGCAAGAAACGCCGTCAAACCCATCGGCGCCGCCGGTCTTTCCGTTGGTGATGGCATTGACGCCGACGGATCAGTAGGACTAGGCGGCGATGGTGGCCACACGCACGGTGTCTCCGGCGATGGTGATGGCGCCGTTGGCGTTGGCATTGGCGTTGATGATGGCGCAAGGGAGGATACTGATAGCAGCATTGGTGACAGTAAAGGCGACCCGTAGAAATTAGGGAAGTTGGCCATGGAGATCATGCCCATGATAAATCCTAACGAGAAGATGAGCAGGAAAAGCACAGCTTTGAGGAGCCTACTACCTGAATGAGATGAGGCAGCCATGGGCTTGTTCGTACTGTTCATGGCCTAGCTTGCCTCAAGCTGGAGAGGGAGATATGCAGCTGCTCGTTACACCTCTACCTCGAACATGAGCCCATGCGTTACAAGCTACAAGGCCACGCATGCAACTCTGCGCGTTGGTTTCTACTTAAAATTGATGTGGCTTGTTCGTGCAAAAGTTTGTACCTATTGATTAATTTCTTCATCACCACTGAGAACTAGGAACTGTAATTAGGAAGCAATCTATTAGTCGTAGGTTCTTCTATTGTTCCGTTTAAGATTACCCAAGTGGGCGTGTACCGTGGAAAATTCTCGGTAAAAAAAATACGAATCTAATGCCCACATGTACGTATGGATCTTACAAAAATATTAGAGCATGATCCAAGAGACCAAGGATCAATGCTCTCCCGAGGAGAGACGAAGGTGGTGTTCTAAACATTAAGGTCCTTAATGATTTACTCATACTTAGGAAGATATCGTCATCAAAGTAACAAAACACGACAATTCGTAATGGCAGTAACATAAATCGATGCGTCCTACCTAACACGCACCTAGAAATGCAAATACATTCTGGGTATAGAAGCAAATAATACCTAGTAGTATATACTAAGCAATTTTACAAATTTCGTGTGTACATTCTAGGGCGGTTGATATCTGTGCCAATATATGGATACAAGTGCGCAGTGCCAAAACCGAGGTTACAACGTGGTTTTTCAGTTTAGCAGAAGTATCTGCATTCGACTTCAGTAGGAGTACGTAGCTAAAGCCTGGTGTCCTAGTCAACTGGAGAACACTAGAAACAAAGTAACAATGACCAATAGCTTGCGGGGACTTCTCGCCTCTGGTTTTATACATCAGGATCAGAATCCGGGTCAATATATTCAATGAAATGGGTAGCACTGTAGTGTACAGTATGGAGTACTCCCTCCATGAAAAAGGAAAAAGACAACTTCTCATCCCTATTGAAAGTGGCAAAGAAACTCTAAAATTAATTATAAGATCAAACTTTATTTTATTTTATTTTGAGAAAAGCTTCCTTTCTGCATTAAAATAGATACTTCGTGCTTTGAAGTCTGCAAGAGCAATTGCGCAAAGGTTAGACATCATCACTCTATGCGAAAGCGTGAGTTGCAAGAACAAAGAACTTATTACGTCCTAATTTTGCACCAGTATCATGCGTTGACTCAAGCTACTTATTTTGGACCCCCGCTCTTGTGTATAGACGAGGAAAAGTTCACGAATGGAATCCCTATAGTAACAATTATGGAAGTTGCAAGTTGGCCCCGCATACCGGAGACATAAGCTTAGGGAAAAAAAAAGGGTTAACGCAGATGGACATTACCGTATCGGAGAATCCTTACGGTTCGTTGCCGCTGTTCCTTTTGAGAGCGTAAGCAATTGCCAAACCACCGGCAAGGGCAGTTGCCGCAAGGATAGCTGGTGAGCTCCTGGCTTGCACATACGCCACCGCCCACCACAGCATGAAGTTTGTTCCACAGCTCACTTCAAACTTGTCCATCGAAAAGCTCTGCATACAGTAAATGAGGCCGATAATCTGAGAAATATCATATGAAGCAATAGAAAGTGTTACCTTGGTATAACAAATCTACAAATATATAAAGGCCAGACGTAATGATAAATCATCTGGCGAGAAGGATTTCACTTGCGTTCAGTTTGAGCATCAGATGGAAAAATTCCAAGCATTGCAGATTGGCAAGGGCTTTTAATACACATATCTGATAAATTACAATGTTTGGAGTTTGGTCGAATCAATTATGAGTACCCCATGACTGCTGCTTAACTTCATGCTAAAACATCACAATCACACCTAAACTGAATCCAAACTCAAAGCAGCATTTGATGGGCCTTTTCCCACTCATGGACATAACTCATGATAGGCTAGGAACGAATTCATCACAACTTCGGTTGAACATTTGTAAGGAGAAATCCTGCAAGATGATCCCCAAGAAACTTATATTAAACTAAATCTTCACTATAATGAATAATTGGTTCTAATATGATTGTAGTTCCCCAACCTACACAAGAATGTCATAACAAGAAGTATCGTCCTGTCATTATGTCATTTATCATATGCCCAAGACATCAAACTAGCTTCCCACAGCCCAATCATTCAAACCAAATCATCTATTATATATATACTGATTTGCTATTTGGTTGATATTCATCCCACAGTACTTCAATACACCAAGATAGTTTATGTAAATGTCTACAATACTAAAGAGAACATATCACTCAGACATATAATATGTCCTTTAGGTTCTATTAAGTTCAAATGGAGTATACTCTCAAAATGATTCAAAAAAACTCTCACCTTAGGTAGTTTATTTTGGGAGTTCAGATGATCAACATGAAGGCGAACATTGAAAGAAGCAGGAATCCATAATTTCCTATCTACATCAGCATAAGTTTTTGAAACTATGTCAAACAGAGTCCGAGCCCCATTCTCTATAGACTGTAGAATGGACACTTCCCTTGCCCTTCGGTGCCTGAAAAGTAAAACACACTAAATCAGCATCATCAATGTCTTCAGTGCCCCAAACAAGGGGCAAATCATATATAGGAACAAAAACAAGTATAGTTTAGTCACATGTTGGCATCTATGGTCTTGAGATGGGACCGCATAAATGCAAACAAATGGTAGTAAGATGTTTTTTTCGGAACAGGAAATTGTGACAAGAAACAAAATCCTGAGGTACAGATTCCACCTTCTCAGATTAATAATTGTAATCTATAGATGAAGTCTACAGAGGTAATTAGTATCATACCTGAGGTATCCACAAAGCATATGTTTGGGCCATAGGTTGATTCTTCCATGCATTGGAATCAGCACGTGCGGTGACATGTCCAAGAAATTGTATGTAGTTTGAAAGTAGTCCTGCATATGTCAGAACTCAGAAGTCACAGAACTCAGAACAAACTTGTGCTAATGGAACTCAGGTGAGACAACATTGTTCTGGACATATGAACAAGAATAAAACTTGTTAAAGACTGAAATACAAGAGGAAAGGAGGAAATACGCATAAAAAGGTATAGCCCCAAAAACGAGAAATCTCCATGTGAGCTTCAGAGTCTTGATGAGCAATACTATGTGGCCTTTTAAACAAAAGGAATGACAATTACCTTCATGTTGCCACCAGCTCTATTGTCCAATGTTGCACTTCCTTGCCTGATAAGAGTAAAACTAACTTAATTGCAGATATGCCAACATAGTACCATTATGCTAACAGTTTAACACTAGTGTGATCCCATAATTGCAGATAACTTATATAACATAAGGTCATGAAGTACCTGACAAGTGATAAGCTACCAGTAATATGTTGAAGAATACTTACCCTACACAGTGATCTCCAACAATTAATGCATTGGTATTAACATGTAAAACCCCCATGTGACCATCTGTATGACCCTAAGATACAGAAAGGAAGAAAAATTAAATGGGACTAAAGAAAGAATATAACGAAACTAAAATTACACAGGATGCACCTTTGTCCTATTTATGATGGGATAAATATTTTCTATATTTCTCCAAATAGAGTTTTTCTAAATTTGACCAACATGTCTCCCTACTTTTTTTAAAAAAAAAAAAGGTAAACAGAATTCACAGATGTAGTTGCTGCACTTTTATTTGACATAACTAAATAGTTTTCGCTCAGTATATGGCATAGAACATCAGACAAGCACTGCCCTTAAGATCATAACAGGAAATGAGTGGACACAGAAAAAAAATTGAAATATACCAGTGACATGTTTTGGCTATCATGACTTTACATGGAAGATTTGACACAACTAGCAGAAATATACTACCTCCGTTTTAGGTTATAAGACTTTCTAGCATTGCCTACATTCATATAGATGTTAATGAATCTAGACACACATATATGTCTAGATTCATTAACATATATATGAATACGGGCAATGCTAGAAAGTCTTATAATATAAAATGGAGGAAGTAGCCTGTTTCAAAGAAAGACCTACAATTGCAGCATGAGATTAAAGATTTCCTAGAAAGTATTTTCTAGACAGTATACAGGTCGTGGTCATGCCACAGTGTTGCTGCTGGTTTGCCTCTGAATAAAGTCGGGAAGGCTACATTATGTATTTCCATTTAAAAGTGCTGTTTTTAGCTCCAGGTATCACCACTGCTGTTTATTCAAGCAATCATCACAAATATCGGTGGACATAAATTTGAACTACCACAAACATCAGCATGGACTATTTATCATGTATCTACATTTGAACTAGAAGAAACAATGTTTTGTAGCCACCAAGCAACAAGCATTATAGATGTATTATTCTGGACTGCTACTAAGAACCTTTCCTAGAGTTGTCCTTTCATTAAATAGAGCTTGATACAGCAAATAAAATAAAATTTTCAGAAACTTTCTACCAAATCTTCCTAGGGAAAGACAGTCTTACAGGAGCAAAAACAACTTGCAGTTGTTGGTCACCTATGCATATATTTTCTCCCCCAGCTACTGCAGTATAGCCAATTGACCAATTTCCTGAACAGTTGCGGATAAAATAGTAAGGTGGGTGTGGGCAATTCTGAAATGATACATACAAATAATGATATATTTTAAAATACAAGGAAATTTAGGAATTTAATGTGCTTGGTGTAAAGCAGTTGAAGGTAATAAACGACAGTTATAGTCCAAATTAAATTAATAGTGTAAAACAACCAGAACTAAAATGAACTACTAATCTAGAGATTCTGGTCAAAGATATCTGAGCGTAAGATTCTATGTTAAATGCATTGGTCCTTTTTTTCTTGGAAACTTTGGGACCATATCTTTTGAAGGATTTGATGCAAGTTGCAGATTAGGAGTTTCTCGAAATTTTCCCACTATTCAAACAGGATATAAGGAGATCTAGCAGAGGTGATCCCGAAGGTCAATTTTAGCTGAGGTCACAGTTTTCTTTTACTTGATTTGAAACTTGACTTGCTAAGTATACATTTGCCCAACTGATTCAAGTGCTTCTTAAAAAAGGGAAGATAGATATGTTTTGCCCAAGTGGATGATAAGCTTTACATTGCCAAGAAAAGAACATTACCTTTCCCAATGCGACTCATTGTATTTTTGTGTGTCAAAAGAACAGCATCAGGGTTGCATCTCTGAACAACAGAGAGACCTGCATATTTAAGGAAATGCAGTCAGCGCTTGTGCTGGTCCTTGATGAACAAATCGGTATGGTAGTAATTAACCCAAAAACAACTACTATAGTGCAACACATGTTTCAATCTTCCAAGATGAAATCTCAATCACTAGGTAAGAGCATATAGCAATTGAAGAAGTGCTGGAAAGAACATTTGTAACCATACCATCAACATGATCATGATGATGATGTGTAACAAGGACCACTAACTTCTTTGGAAGGGAATTAACAAGTTCTGCAAGCTGAACATGGTAAGAATTAAAGATGTAGTCATTCATACGAATAGAGGAACAAATCCATGTAAACACATAGCTACTGTATGAACTAGCATATAAAATAAGCACACTTTTGCATAAGTAAAATTCTAAAAAGAAGTCTTGAGATGGTTTTGTCCCCTAGAGTCAGTTTATGGTAGACCCTGCTAATTCTATTGTAATAGTAGTAGATAAATACTATTCATGTAGCTGTTTTGTAGGTAAGTTCAGAGGCCTTCCAGAAAAAGCCACATATGATGAAGATAAAAAATGTATGAATAAGATAATAGGATTTCCATGGAACTCTATAGCACTACATTATGATACGATTTGGAGAATAAGTTAATACCTTTCCATGAACTTGTGAGCAGCATCCAGGATCTATTAGTAGAGCATCCCCATAAACAACACAATCAGAACATGTTGATCCACCAGGAGTATCGGTTGCTACTACTACCACAAGATTAGTTGTACGGAAGGGCTGTAATGTGTTACTCTTCATCGGCACAAGTTTTATTCCAGGAGGGTACTCCTAACAAATTATGCATTTCAGGAAAGGAAAAGGAGACAATCTGGCATAGTGGCATGATAGTAATCTAGTACTCCCTCCGTTTCATATTATAAAACGCTTTGACATTTTTCTAAGTTTGACTAAGTTCACAGGAAAATGTAGCAACTCTTACGATACCAAATTTGTTTCATCAAATCTAGCATTGAATATATTTTTGATAGTATTTTTGTTTAGTGTCGAAAATATTGCAATGTTTTTTCTATAAACTTGGTCAAACTTACACAAGTTCAACTTGAAAAAAAGTTAAACATCTTATAATATGAAACGGAGGAAGTATATACTAGCTTTATTTTTATGCAAGTGAAAAATGTAGAGACCTGGCAAGGCAATGCAGGGGCAACTGTCCAGTTTGATGGCAGCTCTGGCTTCAGAAGTCCAATATACGCATAGGGCCCTATGCGAGTACCACCGGACTTTGCTCCAGAGAGCAATCCCGAAGCACATTCCTTGGACATCCACCTCCAGGAGTCTGCATCGAGCAATATAGGATGGTTAAGCGAAATGCTATATGCACGAAGTCTGAGAACCTAGGAATTTGACCTTGCAACGCCTCCAGTTTTGACTCCAATGAACCGATGATGAGCACCGTGTTGAGCCCAGCATCTGGGCCAAACTCCGCTTCCTCCACATACTTCAGGAGCCTCCACTCCCCGCAAATTCCACTCGGCAAACCGAATTGATCGCAAATCTAGTGAGAAATCCATCGTCTAGAAGAGTTATTAGGTTCGCCAAACTGATGCTAGCAGCCTAGCACAAGTAAGCAGCAATTTCCCCAAAACTACCAGTCGAATTGAGGGCAATTCTCGTAAGCAACACCTAAGTGTATGCAGAACTGCAGCAGCGGAGAAGCTTCACCTGGTCGAGGGAGGCGGACACGTCGAGGCGCGAGATGTCGAGCCGGCCGGCGACGGAGTCCGCGCCGCGGATGGCCACATCCGACCGGAGCTCACCCGCCAGGGGCCGCAGGGGTGCCGACGGGAGGTCGTAGAGCTCGCTGTCGACGTAGCCCCGGTATAGGTATTCCTCCTCCTCCGGTGCGGGCGCTGGGGACGGCGGCGGCGGCTGGCGGACGAGGAGGAACTCGTCGGTGGAAGGGATCGTGATCGCCGCCGCGAGACGGTAGGAGGGGGAGCCCATCTCCGCCCCGGCGTTGTGGCGCTGCGAGGTGACGATGTCCTCGCTGTATACTGGCCAGGGCACTAGGCGCCAGGCGGGTAGCTGCAGAAGGGGCCAGCCGCCAGCCTATTTATGCTCTAGTAGCTTCCAGTACGAAACAGGCCATCTGTGAGGGCGATGGATTTCTACTTGTGCGGCCGGCAATTCGTGCAGTGATTATGGAGAAAAAACATCAGCACGTGGACCAAGAGAGAAAAAAAGAGTAAATTTCACAAAACTATAGTTATTTTACACAATTTATTATAAAACTAAAGATTTAAAAGCTTGTTTTATAAAACTACATATTTAGTATGTCCGTTTATCACAAAACTATAAGTACTTTGTACAATCTATAAAAAAAAACTATAGATTTAAGAACTTGTTTCACAAAACTATAGAATTAGTGTATTCGTTTATCACAGAACTACACATTTAGTGTTTTCATTTATCACAAAACTAAAGGTTTAGTGTCTCCATTATCACAAAACTACAGATTTTAACAATGCTAAAACCTATAGTTTTGTGATAATAGAGACACTAAATCTATAGTTTTGTGATAAATGAAGATATTAAATCTGTAATTTTGTGAAGCAAGTTCTTAAATCTGTAGTTTTACGATATATTGTACAAAATAACTATAGTTTTGTGATAAACGATGATATTGAACTGTAGTTTTGTGAAATAAGTTCTTAAATCTGTAGTTTTGTGATAGATCGTGCAAAGTATATGTAGTTTTATGAAATTTACTTGAGAAAAAACAACAAAGGGAATAACAGCGGTAATAAGATTTCAGAGATTCAGAGCAGATAACACACTGGTAGTATACCAGTATCAACACAGCAACGGATTGCTGTAAATTCGACGAGCTGCTTTTATTATTTCCAACAGATGGAAGAAAAGTTCCTCTATACACTAGAAGCGGTGGCATACTGGCATCTAATTGCTACAGTATGAACTTCTTTTATTCTGACAAATGTCAGAATTCACAACCCTCGAAGCTCCAACCAATTCACAGATACCAACTTTACTTGCCACTCCAGTTCAAAAAAAAAAAAAAACAAGAAGAAGAAGAAGAAGAAGAAGAAGTTCACTTGCCAAGTAGCCACTCGTTTATTTCAAGACTAGAATGAACATCTACTGGACGGAAAGCCAGAGGATGTTTTCTTGAATGCCCATCCAGTCACCTGCTGGAGTTGCAGATCAGCTTGCTGAACTTAGAGCCCGCTCAATCTCTTCCAGAGAACGCCCCTTGGTCTCAACCACATTTCCAGCTATGTAGACAACAGCAAGAGCGCAAACAGATGCAAATCCCAAATACACAGTGCTGATTCCGAATTTGTTGACGACGCTCAAGAAGTAGAGGCCAATAAAGAAGTTCGAAACCTGCCCAAAAAAAAAAGCAGACGATGATTCACTGGTGACAGTAGGTAAGGCAATAAAACAACACTGCACTTATCCTACAACGATGATCGCCTTAGCTAGATGAAAGGAGTTTATATACATCAGAAATTTGTTTGGTAATTGCAAATCTATGATCTTTAAACAATTATTGTTTATATTCACTTTCACACAAATTAAAATATTTTCAATTATATAGAAAAGCAGTTAAACTAATATTATAGCTAACCACATCACAAATCTGTCAAACTTCATCCAACACACCAAGCATAACTTACCCAGTGCATGCCCAGAGATAATGCAACAGCTTTAGCCCTTATTCTGGAGGCAAATATTTCAGGAAGGAGCAATGCTGGAACTGGGCCAGCTCCAAGAGCAAAAGACAGCACATACCTAAATAAAATTATATTCAAGTTATATTAACAGTTAACAATGACAATCAGCAAAAGGCCTGACTAAAGCGTATGACAAACCACTTACAAAACAGTGCCAGCAACAGCAAGAGGGCCTGAATAAGGTGCCAAAGCCTTCCACGTGAAGGACAATGATAGAAGTAACATTGAGGCAGCCTTCAAAAGGGAGAAGCAGTGAACTTTTAAGCAAACTTTCGTTTCAATATTGTGAAAGACAAAAACATGGTTTATCCTAGATAATGGTATACCATGCCAGAAAAGCTTGTTATCAGAAGGCTCTTCCTTCCTTGCTTGTCCATCAGAGAAGATGCAATCATTGTACCTATCAGAAATATATATACCATCAGAAAGGCCATTTCAAAATTGATTCTAGAATACTTTCTAAGCATGGACTAACCAAAAACATTGGCTGCTCCAACAAGGGCACTCGCTGCAACATCAGATGCAATGCCTGCACTGCGGAACACCGATGTAGAGTAATATACAACAGCATTTATACCGGCAAGCTGTTGGAACAAGAACATAGCTGCGCCCACACTAACAACTGCGGTATGAAAAAATATGTCAGCAACAAATCACCAAACTGATGTTTTGGTTAAATGTTGGGTTTTTATTTTAGCAACACAAGAGTAGGAAATAACAATCAGGGAAGATTTCATGATGCAATTTGAGGAATCAAAATAGTCAGATCTGAAACAGAGAAAACAAAACTACCTTTCCAATAGCGTTTGCTGAAAAGATCCAACCAGCCAGCATCTGGCTCAGAAGAACCTTGGCTGGCAGCTTTTAGGTCATACATAACTTCAGCAACTTTTTCTCTTCCATATAGTTTTTTAATAGCTGTTTCTGCCTGAGAAAGTTTTCCTTGCTGCAGTTAATCACAGAAGAATCAGTAAGTGTCGGGCTTAAGTTTGAGGTAGAAACATAGATAAGGGATTTGCCATGTACAAACCTGGAATAGCCAACGAGGGCTTTCAGGTGAAACAGCCATCCCAAGAGCAAGCAAAATGGATGGAACAATTGAAATTCCGAACATTGTCCTCCACCTTATTACATACAGACACATACATATGAAAACAATGTGAATATAACAACCTGCATGTCATACAAAGTTTGTTGCCATCTTTTTTCAGCACAATGCTGTTCTGGTATGCATGTCTGAATTTTTACTTATCTATACGGTACGTGTTGGAAAAACATGTTTGTTGCCTCCATCCTCCTCTCATGTAATTTAACTTTGTTCATGAATAACCAAAGAGACAGATTACCCCTTTCTAATCTAGCATGCCATTGCTCCAAAGTACAATCGTGGTTTGCGAAGACGATAAACCAAAATGATTGTTTGTGCAACCAGATAAGAATGTAAAAGGCACTAAATGAAGCAGAAGCAGGAGAAAAGAACTAGGACAAAAACTCACCAAGCAGGGTTTCCTGCCAGAGGTAATCCAGCTACCAGAGCAGCAAGAATTCCAATGCAGATAAAAAGCTGATTAACAGAACCAAGTGCTCCACGTATTTCAGTGGGTGAAATCTGCAGGCGCAAGCGTAAATAGCTCAGTTGTTGGGCATGTTCAAGAACCTAGCCAGTAGTAGCTGAACAATCATTTCAACAATTTGAATTTATCAGTTATCACAACCTCAGATATGTAAAGGGGCACAAGAGCAGAAGATATGCCAATACCAATCCCAGCAAGTAATCGGCCAATAATCATTGTGCGAACATCATGAGCTGTTGCACTGCAAATCTTTCATGTGTTAGGTTTCCGTTGGATGACAATAGCGGTTTTCTTAAGCAAGTGTACATTCCTAGTTAAAACACAATTAATCGAATCTATAGACACACCTCAGGAATGCACCTACAGCGAGAGGGATTGCATCCAGGATGAACGTCCGTGTTCGTCCAAATTTGTCAGCTAAAGCACCTCCAGTAAAAGAACCTGCTGTCGCACCAGCCAGGGTTGTGCTAACCACCCATCCTAAGAGACAAACAAAATGCATTGTGAAATATTGCAAACGAATATCTCATAGAATCATACTATCAACTTTCTATGTTTGATTTAGCTGTTTTTCTTAGACCTTTCCTCCTTCAAAAATAATATTTAGATAATCCTTGGCAACGGTTTGTGAGTAATTGATCTAAAATTTGAGATGTGCCTTTTACAGAGACCAAAGAAGGAATATATACTAAAAATAAAGCATGGATTTTATAGACCAAGTAAATGGATGTCCCACCTTGTAACACAGCATTCTCAGAAATTCCAAGGTCCTTTGCAAGATATTCAAGAGCGCCGTTGACCACTCTGCAGAACACAAATTCAAAATGAGATATTCAGATTTACCAGGTATTGTTATTCATCAATTTAAATTCAGGTTACAAGGAATGTGTGGGTGGTGACAGAAAATCTATGCAATTATGACAAATTGGAAACAGCAACACAATACATACCCAAGATGATAACCAAATAAAATAGCCCCCAAACAAGCAACGCCCACATATGGCAGAACACTTCCAGAAGATTTAGCTTGAACCTTCTCCAATGGAATATCCTCAGGATCAACTGGAAATAAATAGTATTAGAAATCAAGATCAGCAGATATAGTTAAACTACATTCCAGTTTTGGCTTGCAAAACTAAGCATGAGCGCATGAGCACTATAAGCCCACAATTATACAACATGCATCATAGATAATGCTAATATAGAGGTTTCAAAAAAAATGTAGAGCATTAAAAAAAATTGCATCTAGCAAAACTCCTGCTCACTTTTTCTTTAATCACTTCCCCCCTCTTTTTTTGGCATTTTCTCTATACTCCCTTGCGATTGAAGCTCAAACATAGTACTAACATGAAAATGTCACGAAAGGACAAAACAAACAACTCTGATGTCACTGTCTGTGTTAAGTATTATAGGAAAAATGCTAGTTTGAGACACTCCTACAAATATCTTGATGCACAGTTATATGTTGGGGTTATATGACAACATATGTTCGCAATTCCTGCACTTTGAACAGTCAAGCACCAAATATAACACAACTTTACACTGAATAAATTATTCAAAGGCCAAGCTAGTTAGCAACAAACCCAATTGATAACCCCAAAAAGAGAAGCTGAACACTAGACAAAATAGTCACAGAACTATACACTATCATCATGGTCATCTGGTACAGCTAATCACCTCTGAAATACATACTGCGAGGGTAAAAAGGAGCCAGTTGAAGTACATAATGCGAGGGTAAAAATGAGCCAGTTCCTCACCACTACTTACATTTTGGCTCAAATAATGTAACAAGGACCACATCACACT